CTATTGTTTATATTGTTTAATTTAACACTATTTTGTAGTAAATACTGGAAAGTGTTGCACACATTTAATGTTTGCGCTCTATCTTCTAGCATTATTTACAAAATTAAATTAATGGTCTCATAATGAAGTCTTAATTTTCAGAGCAATGTTCTTTTCTCTGGTTGTGGAGACAATAATGTGTATGCTTGGGATTTAGAAATGGGTTCCTGTAAGGTAACACTCACACTAATTTAAAATATTATTATTTTATGTTTCTCTATGAATGTTTTTAATTCTTACAAAGAACATTGTCTGATGAAATAGAATACCTTCAAAGGCCATACYGACTATATCCAGTCACTTGCCCTACGCAGTACAAGTAATGAGTGTTTAAGTGGATCAGAGGATGGATCAGTAAGATTTTGGGGTATGAAAGTGATTTTTGCCCAATAGGCTTCATTSTGATGTCATTATGTTCTTCTTTGCTATGAAGGATTTTCCTTTTTTTGCTAGATTGCAGGGCAGGATCTATGACAAACATAGTAGAACCATATAAAGATAAGGTAAGTAGCATATTGTCTGGATTAAAGTTCAGTGATATTCAAGCTCTCTAATAAATATGTTTATATGCCAAAGATAAACTTGTTTATCATACTGACATTACACTTTTATGTCAGAATCTCAATAGACCTAAGTTTGGTAAATGGATTGGATGTACTGCCTTAGACCCTAATGAAGAATGGATGGTATGGAAATTGCATTTAACATATGCTGWATGGCTCTGTTTTCCATTGATTTTCATTGTTATTTTTGATGTAGGCATGTGGTGGAGGACCAAGATTGTCTATATGGCATCTACGCTCGTTAACATGCACAAGTATACTAGACACACCTGATTCTTGTCAACAGAATGCTTTATTTTATGAAGATACAGTAAGTTAAATAACAGTAAGAACCATTTAGACTAGACATGTAGAGTAATTAGAAAATCTCTATAAGTACAATATTATAAAAAGTGCTTTCAAGTTATGGTGTACATTTACAGTGACACTTCATGTTGACTTAAGTTCTTATATTAACATTGTGGTTATTTTCTTTTCACCTTTTCTTTACAGATTTTGTCATCTGGTACAGAATCATCAATTTTTCACTGGCAAGTTAATGGCGAATTGAGATCAAAAGTGCCTTGTACTGCTTCATCTGTTTATGCCATGAGAGTGAACTCAACACATAAGCAGGTAGATTATTAATCCATATGCCATGCATTTCAAAAGATGATGTCTTTACAAAAACTCTAAACATTCTTGTTGTTGATTATTTTACTTATGTTGTAGGTTTTACTTGTTGGAGGAAGCTCAGCAAACATTGATGCTTACATAAACTTTGGCTACAAAGCTTTTTCATTTACATTTTCATGATTCCATTTGCTGTTGACATCATCATTCACATGACAAGAACATAAGACGCGCGACCTATGTGTTTCCTGAAGTGACATTTTTCACTTCTTGAAAAAAAGGAAAAATACTTGAGAAAGCAAGAGTAAGGGTTGATCCAGGGGGTGATTAGGGTCGCTAGGTAACCCCCATCCTTTTAGGGTCAAGAAATGTAGAACATGTAATTATGATATAAATTAATAAATGCAGTTCAACCTAAATTTGACTCATTCTGAAAGGAATTTCATTTTTCTGCAACCTCATTAATGAATCCTTTGAATATTTGTTCTTGAGTTAGTCACCCCCTCTTTGAACATTCTGGATCTACCTCAGTAGAGATTATAGAAGAATGACCTCAATGCGTATAGCTAAACCATTGTGATATCACTGCATGTGACATCCAATAAAAACACAAAACATGTTAAGATAGCTAGAGGAATACTGGAAATACTTTAAACTTGCTTTTTATATCAATAAAATAATCTTTTACAAATTAATTCTTTTTTGAATTTGATTGTTTCAAACAAATTTGTAAACATTTGTTAATTTTTTCACTTTTACTTGTTGTATTATTTAGTAGTAAGAGATAAATAATTAATAAATGTTTTAGCATATTCGATTTTGTTTATCTGTCATCAACTCACTCATCCCAGATATTCCTTGTCAAAATTTAATTGAGGTTATTTTTTTGCCCTAGACGTGGACTTTCATAATTATTTTGGGCTACCTGTGGCGCGTGGAAATATTTGTTATGCTGCCATAGCAACAATATGCATTCAACCAATCACAGCTGCGTCCCGTGGATGTGTATTTGAGTCGCATAGCGTTTGAACGAAAACAGTTGGAATCCACACTTCATTGAAACTGTGTTTTCTTCGTTAGAGCTCGTTTTTTACCGAAATACTACGTAATTTTTGATATTCTTGTGGTAAGTGTCTATCATTTAGCTAGAATTTAATTCCGTGGCTCACGATTTGACAAGACTGAAAGCTTGGAGCAAGAATATTTGTTGAAATTTTCATAGAAGTCGTCTTCAATTCCCCAGTTCGAATTGTTACCAAATGTTTGATCTAMAAATTGTTTTATTTCAGATGGCAGCAACACTTGCAGCACCAGCTAAGCCAAAGTCCGTATCACGGCCTAAACATTGGAGTGTAGAAGTTGAAGAGGGTAGGCAAAATACCTTTTAATACCTTCATAAACAATCTTCCTTTTTATATGTAATTTCTTTTACTTGAAGTTATTAATGTAAATGGTTCTCAAACCTTCTCTTTTGAATTTTTAGCGTATAGATTTCAAATAGCTGGATATCGAGATGCTGTAGAGTATGGAGATATCAATAAAACTGCAGTGGTAAGTCTATCCGTTTGGGCCAAGAAAACAACCATTTATTTTGCCTATATAAAACTATTTGCTTAAAACCAGCAGCTGCCGGTAGCTCTTTAATAAGTCGTACCAACAACATTGGGGTATAATTTTTTGAAAAAAGAAGCCTTGGCAAGGATACGGTAATGGAGCTCTGCTGGTACACACAAAGTTCTTTTTTGCCATTCCTATTCACCTTATCCACCAAGCTAATGACAAAAGAAAATTCCCCTTCAGCACATTCTTTTTTCAGCCAAAAACCTTTAATGGATTTGTTTTAATATTTGCAGGAGCGATGGCCTCATAACAATTATGTTAAAAAGCTTCAAAGAAAAGATGGCTACTTTGTGTATTTCAACAAAACTAGAGAATGTGCCGATAAGGATGTGAATAAATGCAAGATGTATGGATATTGATTGACTGCATAAACAAATTCATAGGATATTTGATAAGAAGATCTTTATTCGTGTATTAATAATCTCTATTGTACAAACAAGGTTTAAAAATAGCAATATTTATGTTAATATGGCTCTAATGACTGATTACTTGCTTGTAAATTTAAACTCTTCTCAATGACATGTATATTTTGTAGATACTTTTAAGTATTAAAATCATTCATAGATTGATAATAAAACTGCATTTAGATTTTACTTCACTTTTAGATTACTCTCTATATTTCATCATGTATAGATTTAGTTAATTTGATTTGAGATGTTTGTTGTCTGGGGTATTTTCAGCATTTATACAAAAAATGTAGGCATTAAAAGAGGCAGTGAATTCAAAATATCATGGCAAAGTTACAAGGGCTTGGTCAATGTCCTTTTTGAGATCTTCAACATGCTCAAGGCCAATACTAAAAAAAAGATAAGAAACATAAGTGCCTGTCCTCTGATATAAAMAAGTTCTCGACCTGCTTCTCAAGGATGCTAATCATCTATCTTGGTTTCTGTGAAGCTAATCTTATACCTTAGCCTGATCAGATTTCCAGGAATCTTAAATGCTTCTTTTTCTTCTGGTGTAATGTACTTATCATTGTGGGTCATCAAACAAACCACTTCAACCAAGCTATCAGTTCCACCAAGGGACACGGCCAACTTGAATAACTTGAGGCTCTGCCCAATGGAACAGGCATTGTAAAATATGGATTATACAATRACAGCATTGTGCAAACAGTGTAAGTTGATATTTGTAGTGCTTATCAGAATAGTATCAGTGTATCATTATTTTCAGCAGCCAGAACTTATATACCTCAGTAAATTTCTTTGCCTCTTTGAGTGTACCATAGACACTGAATGCCACCATACCACCAAACCCTCTCATCTGTTTGACTGCAATGCTGTGACCTGGATGACTTTTCAGCCCAGGATAATATACCATCTCAACCTATAATTGAGAACTGATTGCACACTGATGTTCATGTTCATACTATGTATCTTATCCAACAATAATTTAATATAGGTTTTTGTCAGTCAGTTTGCAACATGAAAATGCTCACCTTGGGATGGCTTTCAAGAAACAATGCTATCGCCATTGCATTGGCACAATGCCTTTCCATTCGAACANCAACTATGAAGAACAACATCCACTCCATGACGAATAGGATTTTGAACAAAAGGTGATGCAAAGGTACTATCGACCATTGTTGTTATTTGCAACTTCTTTCCTAAGCGACCGAATGCCTCCAAATCAAGAATACTCATTAGTGGATTGCAGGGTGTTTCTCCGTATAAAATCTAAAAAAAACACAATAATATCACTGTAAACATCTAAATCAAGAGCATGAAATGCTATTAATACATCATCACTTGGTGGCCAAGTGGCCAATAATTTGGCCACCATTTTGAAAACATTCGTCTAATACATCAGGCGCTTCTATAAAAATTATGCTCYGCGGTGCCTGATATCAAATTGATCATTAGGATACATTCCTGTCAGAAACCTATAAGGCACTTGAAACGTGTAACACCATGCCAACTGTTGGAATATTCAAATCTAATTTGCATATCATTTCCTTATTTGACCTTATTTGGAACAATTAAATTTACCCTATAGCCAACCCCAAAGGCCGAATTTTCCAAATATGGTCATAACGTTCGTTTTCGAATTTTKAATAACAGGCTTGGATATTCCAACGCTTGGTACTAAAGAAATGTACGGGYGTCACACGTTTCAAGTCCCTTATAGGCTTCTGTTCCTGTAAAATGATGATGAAAAATCATGGCAAATCAAGAACGTTAAGTTTTAATGTGATGTTCTACCTTGGTGTTCGATTGTACAGCATTTTCGTAAGCATCAATGTCAATTCCATCAACCAAAGTTATTTCTATTCCATAATTAGGTAATATATTTCTAAAAAAGTTATGGGTTCCACCATATTTAACTTTTGGTGCTATCTACAAAAAAGCGAAAAATGATTTATATGTTATTTTCTCAGAAAAGAAGAGAATCAAGGAAATTTTTACAAATGATCTTATAACTGGTGAAGAAAAACAGAATAAAACAAAGAAGTACCATATGGTCTCCAGCCTTGAGTAGTGCCACACAAGATGTTGAAATTGCCGCCATTCCAGATGAAAACAGCAAAGTACGTTCACCACCCTCAAGTTCATTCAAGACTTTCGCAGCTGCTTCAATTGTGGGATTAACCCTACGAGAGTACAGGTAGCCTACATCCTGTCATRTATTCATAAGCACGGTTAGTATTCTAACCCTCAAGACAAAGTGTCTGTGATAAAAAAACTTAAGCTTAATGTTCTCGCATAATTATGCAGGACCTATAAACATAGCAGATTACGTACCTCGCCGGCAAAAAGACTTACTGCGTGATCGACATCTTGGARTACGAATGTGGACGTAGCGTAAATAGGTAAACTCAAAGGCTTGGGTTGATGTGAAAGAGTCCAGTTGTTTGCAGCAGCGATGGTTTCAATATTTTGATTGCTCATCGTTTCAATTTTTTACACCGACTCKTGACAAAAACTCGTGACCCAACTGGACTAGCTGGGGTCGTAACTAGTTCCCAGGTCTTTCTCTAAATGTACTCGATAGTCTCGGCCGCATGCTGCAGATACACGAGGTTCTATTCTAAAAGTTGAATCCGGAATATTTGAGTCTTCTACGTCAAAGAATAGGTCAGGCAATAAGAAATAGACAAAATATCCAAACATTTCCCAAATKCTACTTACAGTTACAGTAGCGTAGTTGTATCATAAAAAATACAAGATCATAGGCTATCAATGATCCAACTTTTTATCATGCTTATATGGAAAAACWTGCTCGGAAAAAAAATCTTAATACCAATACAAACAGGTTAGTGGATTATTTTTTGGAGAAACTGAAACAGCTGCACACAATTTAAGACAATTCAAAACTAAGAAATGTGTCTTTATTCATTTATAATATTTTTTATCCCAATCCCATGCTGTCCACGATCATAATAAATATRGCATTTATGATCCCAGTTTGCATAAAATCACCACTAGTATGAATTCTAAGTTTCACAATTATTAAATTAGTATCACAATATCATGGCAATGCTGCAAGGCCTTGTTCAATGTCCTTTTTGAGATCTTCAACATGTTCCAGTCCAACACTGAAAAATATATAGAGTAGAGTATTTGGAAAAATTGCAATAGAGACATACATATTCAATGATATTTAATAGGGACATATACAAATCCTCCATAAAAGCCAAATAATCGGCTTTGAATCAGCTCAGCTTATATACAATGTCAATAATATGATAATATCATTTTTAAAATTATTTTTATCAGACACTTGCCTTAGCCTGATCAGACTTTCAGAAATACCAMAAGCAACTTTTTCCTCTGGGGTCATGTACTTATCAGTATGGGTCATCAAACTCACAACTTCAACCAAACTATCAGTCCCACCAAGAGACACAGCCAGCTTAAATAACTTAACACTCTGCAGAATGCAAAAAATTAGCTTGTATCGACCTGTTTGAAGATGGCACCTACTACAACCAAGARCTCACTTCGCTAAATTTCTTTGCCTCCTCCAGTCCACCTTTAACACTGAATGCCACCATACCGCCAAACCCTCTCATCTGTTTGACTGCAATGCTGTGACCTGGATGACTTGTGAGCCCAGGATAGAAAACCTTGTCAATCTTATTAAACCAAAATAGTTATAGTAATTTCAAAGATTAAATGTCCACATATAAGTCTTTATTGGCATAAAATGCTCACCTTGGGATGGTTTTCAAGAAACAATGCTATTGCCATTGCATTAGCACAATGCCTTTCCATCCGAACATGAAGAGTTTTGATTCCTCGCATCAACAGAAAACCATCAAATGGTGACTGAAATTAGTAAAGTAATGATTGTTATACAGTTTTAAAGCTCTGACATCAGTTTTGAATATAATCACATCATACATAGAGACATGAATCATACCAAACAAGGTCCCAAWATCTTTTGATATTCAAAGATCTGTGATGCAAGTTGTTTTGATGATGTTGTCATTGCTCCTGCAATAATGTCACTGTGTCCTCCCAGGTATTTTGAGCTGTTAAACAAAATGCAACTATTACCTTTTTCAAGAATGTATCGTTTATAACTTACAATAGACTTTCAAAAAACACATAAGCAAAAAAAATTACCAACTATGAAGAACAACATCCACTCCATGACGAATTGGATTTTGAATAAAAGGTGATGCAAAGGTACTATCGACCATTGTAGTTATTTGCAAACTTTTTCCTAAGCGACCAAATTCTTCCAAGTCAAGAATATTCATTAGAGGGTTGCAAGGTGTTTCTCCATATAAAATCTTAAAAACAATCATGATGATGATTATGATTGGTGATGATGATTAGGATTTGATCATTACAATGAATATAATACACACCTTTGTGTTAGATTTAACAGCATTTCTGTAGGCATCGACATCATTTCCATCAACTAAAGTAATTTCTATTCCATAACGTGGCAAAATATTTTGAACAAGATAATGAGTTCCACTGTATTCCACTTGAGGTGAAACCTACAAGTGTCAACAAATGTAATCAAACACATATCTGCAGGGGAGCAGGCAGTAATGCAGTACCAATTGAAACCTGCTTTTTGATTGCTCCTTAAGTACAGCACCACTATTGTTAGGTTAGGTTTTGTTATATTGTTRGAAGACTTATCTATTGTTTGTCCATTGTTTTCTCAACCTATCATGAGACCCGTTCTGAGCGGTGCTACCTGGCTCGGAGCAGGCCACCATCACAGCCTTGTTCATAGTTTCAGTCAGATTATGTTGTTCCTTATGATCATACCAAACATACAGTTGGGAGATTAAACACACACACAATCATGCAAAAAAAATAATACCATGTGGTCTCCTGGCTTGAGTAAAGCCAGTAGAGATGTAGAAATTGCTGCCATACCAGATGAAAACAACAGAGTGCTTTCTCCACCCTCAAGTTCATTCAGTGCTTGTGCTGCTGCCTCCACAGTAGGATTACACCAACGAGTGTACAGGTATCCTTCGCTCTATATATGTACATTTAAATGTTAATGAGTTTTCTTATATTCTGATAAAATATTGTTTTTGCTTCAACCAACAGTCTCATTTTGATCATTTTACAATCTCCATGGATATGTCTAGGATTTTCTTAGACATATCCATGGAGATTGTAAAATGATCAAAATGAGACTGTTGGTTGAAGCAAAAACAATATTATTACCGTGTTCTTAGAAGCACACTGCAAAAATTGTAGCCTGTGCACATCTATTTCCACCCCTCCCCTCCCTTAGGGGAATGTAACAGGATAAAAAAGTTGTCACAATTAATTAAGCAGGAACAAAAAATAGAGGGAGTGTGCGCACAAGCTGGATCTGCTATTTAAGCTGTTGACTTAATGAACGGTTAATACTTGACCGGGGAGGCCTTTAGGTTATTCTATCAATTTAAAATATTTGACGAGATCCGAGTGATATTTAAATATGAGAGTGAAAGCCCAGGCGCGTAAGTGATGTACGTAGGTGTGATATGATATTTAGATTGATATTTAAATAATTCAAGACAACAATTCAGTTCAAGTGGAATYAACCTAGGATCATGGCGGTCATCAATCCAGAAAGGTCATGATATTGTCTTCCTTCATTGRAAAAGGGTCAGAATTCCACAAATCTCAGTTTTTGATCCTAGTTTAATGGTTTTTCGGAGAGCGAACTACAGTATATAGGCAGATATAGGCATATTTATAATGATGCCGTGTGCTGGTACGTGTCGACGTGGGACATTTTCACTCATTTAATCGTTTTCGGTAGTTTACCTGCCCTGCGCACAGATTTGCGCCTTGAATTGCATCCTGAAGCTCAAACGTAGATGAAGCATAGATTGGTACACACACAGGCTGGGGTGTTTGTGAATGATGCCACTGATTGGAAGCAGCRATGGTTTCAAGCTTTTCATTACTCATCGTGTATTTTGGGTTACCTGTGCATTAAAGGGACGCGAACCCTAGGAGCTAACGAGTAGGCCCAAAGAAGAATGACATGAAGTATTAAAAGTAAGGGACGTTTTAAAATTATTTTCATTGGAGTATTTCGTGCTTTAAACTCTCTTAGAACTTCTTCTCGCACGTACCTAATTGTAGCTCCTGCGAGCAGAGAACGTAYGAAAAACAGAAAAAGGGGATGGAAAAATTCCGGTGGTTGCAGGGCAAGAACTTGGTGAACAGATTATGGATGGACAAGACATTTWATAAATAGGGATTAATTCGCATAAATATAGTGATCATATTTATTAMATATTATGTATTGTGCAAAACCAGTTTGACATTTCCCAAAAATTCATGAAGTTTGTGATGTGGCATTGTGCCTGTCGACATGATGCTGGAGCATTCCTATAACAGCATTAATTGCAATTGAAACTTTTCCAGTCATTGAAAATATTATGTTAAAGTAGCTAGAGCTTGTTCAATGTCCTTTTTGAGATCTTCAACATGTGCAAGTCCAACACTGAAATAGAATATCAAACAAAAGAGTAGATTTAGAGACTAATATAGCTTTTTATTCAAAAATTCAAGTTTGCCATTCTTATGGAGCATTCAGACAAGGTTAGTGTTATATGGGATTTGTTACCATATAATATTGGGTAAATAGCTATTTGCCATCATACTCTTTTGTGAAGTAACGACATGAGTACCTGGTATTCTATCACTAACCTCAGCCTGATCATACTTTCAGGAATRCCAAGAGCCTCTCTTTCCTCTGGTGAAATGTATTTTTCATTATGGGTCATCAAACACACAACTTCAACCAAACTGTCAGTCCCACCAAGAGATCCGGCCAACTTGAATAACTTAACACTCTACAGTTAATCACACAAACATTGAATTAGTCTCATTAGATTGAGTAAGACCATGTCAATGTTTGGGGAAAAATCATTAATCTTTAGATGGTTATAAACTTGAACTCACTTCACTAAATTTCTTTGCTTCCTCAAGTCCACCTTTGACACTGAATGCCAACAAACCTCCAAACCCTCTCATCTGTTTGACTGCAATGCTGTAATTTGGATGACTTGTGAGCCCAGGATAGAAAACCTTGTCAACCTAGTAGATTTTAAGCAAAAATAATAACCATTTTCTGTGATTAATGGTCACATTATAGCAGAGAGAGTAGTGAAATAGACCTAATTGGCTAACGTGTTACCACCCAATTCAAATCCTGTGGGAAAAAGAWCTTTTGTTTCTCAGAATTCAACCATGAAATGAAAATACRACGAACAATGAAACTTACTCCCAGGTGGTTTGAATTGRGTGGAAACGTTTAGCCGAKTAGGTCTATTTGTTTATAAATATGCACCTTAGGATGATTTTCAAGTAGTAATGCTATTGCCATGGCATTGGCACAATGCTTTTCCATCCGAAGATGAAGAGTTCTGATTCCACGCATTAACAGGAAACCATCAAATGGTGACTGAAATRTGGAAGGGGATGCATTTGTTACCGGTAGCTGGCTGATATCAGTGGACTAATAGCACATCAGACATTGAAATCAGTATATAAAAACTACTAACTAAAGATAAATGATTTCTGTATGGATGTCAATCATAACTACATTACCAAACAAGGTCCCACTATCTTCTGATATTCAAAGATCTGTGATACAAGTTGTTTTGATGATGCTATCATTGCCCCTGCAATGATATCACTGTGTCCTCCAATGTACTTGGAGCTGGTGTTAACATAAAATAACATATCAATTGAATTGGGATTTTTCCAAAAACAATATGACCATATATGTTGTAGTTCAACAATAATATTACCAACTATGAAGAACAATGTCAACTCCATGACGAATTGGATTTGTAACAAAGGGTGTTGCTAAGGTACTGTCAACCATTGTAATYACTTGCAAACTCTTTCCTAAGCGACCAAATTCTTCCAAGTCTAGGACACCCATTGTTGGATTGCAAGGTGTTTCAGCAAATAAAACCTTTAAGATACATAATTAAGATTATATAGTTTGTTTTGAGTAGTGATGGTAATGATTGATAATTTGTAAATACCTTAGTGTTAGATTTAACAGCATTTCTGTAGGCATTAACATCATTTCCATCAACCATAGTATTTTCTATTCCATAACGTGGCAAAATATTTTGAAGAAGACAATGACATGCAGTGTTTTTAACAGTGGGTGTAACCTGCAAGAAAATAATTTAAATATATTAGATAAAACTGTCTTAAGTCTCACAGTGGTGGTAGAGCAGGGTGACCATCACACACAAACTCAAAGCACAAGAGAAGAAGCAGTCAATTGTGTTACAAAAACTAAATTTCGAGAAAGAATATAAACAGGCATATACCACATGATCTCCTGCCTTGAGCAGAGCAAAAAGGGATGTAGAAATTGCTGCCATACCAGAGGAGAACAGTAGAGTGCCTTCTCCACCCTCAAGCTCATTTAATGCTTGTGCTGCTGCATCCACAGTAGGATTAATCCAACGAGTGTATGAGTACCCATCATCCTATGTATATTGAAATGCTAATGAGTTGACATATATTTTAATGGTGTTGGGTGTTGTTGATTGCTTTTGATTGCCTGCCATGATGCCAACACAAAGATCAAGACAATCATCAAGGTGACTCATGTCACTTTAAACTGGGGCTCACTWGGATTTCACTGATACATGATTGTTCAGGATATCTCCATAAGGGCCCTTGTCTGGTGGTTTTTCAGGGGGTGTGGAGCCAGGGGG